GTGATCCACCCGCCTCGGCCTCCCAAAGTGCTGGGATTACAGGCTTGAGCCACCGCGCCCGGCACCTCACCACATTTAATTTAAAAACACCTTTGACATTAAGAAGGTAAAAAAGACTATTAATACAAGTTCAGGGAGCAGTGGCTCATACCTGTTACCCCAGCACTCTGTGAGACCAAGGTGGGAGGATCGCTTGAGCTCAGGGTTCAAGACCAGCCTGGGCAACATAGTGAGACCCCATCTCTATTAAAAAAAATTTTTTTTTAAAAAGACAAAAAACAAGTTGAGAGCATTTACACAAGACTGATTCATTAGCTACACTGATCAATTTCAAAATAAAGTCAAGAAGGAGAAAAGCCAGGGAAAAGAGATTTGGATAATAATCATTATAACCTCAGTTCGTGTTGAACTCTTCCGTAACGGCATTAAACTTTCTATCACAGAAGACTTAGGGACGTCAAGACAGGATAAAACAAAACCAAACACTCTTTTCAACCTACTGATTTCTTTTCGGCCTGAGAAGGTCCGGGCGATCCAAAGCCCCCCGGGGACTGCGTGTAGCCGCCAGCTCCCCCGTAGTTGGAGCTGCCATAGCTTTCGAATCCACCTGTTTTGAACAACAGGATTAGCGCCTGTGCCACTTCACATGCCTTGGAGAAACTCGCAGGCTCCCTGAGGCTTTGCCCCTCCAAACACTGATCGCGTCCCGCTAACCTTCGTCTTTGCCTTCCTGAGACCCCCAAACTCCCCAGCTCCGTTCTCACTCCTCCCCTCCCGCTGTCACACGCCTCTCGGACCCTAGGCTCGTCCTCTTGCTAAAATCTCCTGCGATTCTCTTCCGCCTCCGCCCCGCACCCCCATCATTACTGTTCCACATCTTGGTCTCGATTCTCCGCAAAGAGGGCGAGAAGGTTCGGATCTCGGCAAGTTGCGGAACAACCCAGAACTCGCGCTACTCCGCGGCTCTGGATACTTTTTTCTGGCGCCACGAACTCCTTCCCGCGAATGACCGAGCCAGTCAGCGGCTGGGCTGCTTCTCGCTTCAGCCAATCGGTGCCCACGAATGCTGCGCCTGTTCCTGTCCTCTCTGCTCACGCTCCGGAAAACGCGCACTACGCTTCCAGTTGGCTCCAAAAGCCTCCGCGGCCATCTTTACAAAGGGCAAAACCCTCCACGCAAGCGGAAGCAAAGCGTTTGTTGGGCGGTATCGCAAGAAATCAACCAATCAGAACAATACTGAAGCGCCAGGTTAGTTCACCCTTGTCAAGTGCGCGACTTCTAACGTCACTTCCTTTGTTCAGCGTGCTCGGGTTCCCCGCAAACTGTCACCAAATGTTTAGATCAAAGGTTGAAGCCTTATCTAAACGCGGTAGTAGAGTTTCAGCTTCGGTGTCTGCCACCCGCGGTCGCGCGGGAATTGGGCACCTCTGGGACTCGAAGTGCTAGCCTCACAGGACCGCGTGGAGTTGCTTATTCTTTTCCATAGGGAGTCAGATTTTCTTCGTGTAATGCCACCAGTGGTCCCCATTCTCCCCAGTGGGGCTGTGAGAAACCTCCGCACTCTTGCCCATGACAGACTTGTGAAAGATCTCAGGGTGGTACCCCTCGTCCCCCACCTGTCCGTATCCCAGTCTCATCCAGGCTCTGCATCTCCAGTCGACGATTTCGGCCATTTTTCATAATTCTCCATATAACATGCTTGTCTGTTTCTCCCATAGGGAGTGGAACATGTTTGTCAGTTCCTTTCTCTTAAGTATTACTGCATTGTTAGAATTATTGTTCATGGGCCGGGCGCGGTGGCTCAAGCCTGTAATCCCAGCACTTAGGGA